CAGAATTCCCCAGCCAGCCATCCTGGCTGGGGAATTCTGGGAGTTGAAGTCCACACATCTTCAAGTCACCAAGGTTGAGGAGCCCTGGTTTAGCAGACAGGCTGAGCTGGCAGAGACTTCCTAGAGGCGAATATTTGAAAAATGTCACTCCTTGGGAACCTGAGGGCACATTTCAAATTGCGAGAAAATGGCAGGGGCACCAAGACAAAATGGCTGCCACGGGGAGGGACATTTGCAAAATCACTCCTGTACTTAGAAGAAAATAAAACGACCACTAAATGGTAAATTGTGCAAACTTACAGAATTCTAATAAACTGTAATAAAATATTGGTATTTCAAATAGTCTTAGGAACATCTTTTATTTCAGTCTTCAATGGCACAACATATTTTAAGAAATTCCTTTTCAAGAAAAGCAAAAGAAACATGGTGAGGTTCCCCTTGTAAAATAAAGATGTTTCCTTGAAAAATAAATTGATTTGATGCCTTTTGTAAAACAAAATAATCCTTCTTTGCAAAGGATGCATTGTGAAATGCGTGCCTTTGTTTTTACTTCAAAAAGAACACTGATTCGGTATGCGTGTGTGTGCCTGTGTGTTAATTGTCATTCATTCCGTCTCCCCATAAAATAAATCCGTCTGTTTGCAGCTCTCCTGCTTTGCACAAAACTCTTGCTCTTTCCCCAGAGCTGAAGATCCCTGTGTCTCCTCTGACGAAGCCACCTTCAAGTTCTTCAAATCCCTGAACAGTGACCAGGGCTCTGTTCATTGCATTTACCACCCCTTTGGCAGCAAGAGAGGGTGGTGTTTCCTAGCCTGGCAGGAGCAGGGGCTACAGTCTCTTCTTCTTCTTCTCCTCGGTCAGTCCTGCTAGGCAGACCCAGCCAGGAAATCAACTCCACGGGAAGGCTAAGCCTACTTTTATTGAGATTGGCCATAATAACAGACTCTTGCCAATCTGACTGTGTTGTATCTCTTCTCCCTTCTTATACTCCAGTGAATCAGGGAGGTGTCGGTCTAAGCCACTTCTGAAGGTTTATCAAGTAGTTCTGGACTGAAAAAAATGTTTTAGCCCCTTTTGCCTAGGTAATGGTTCTTACATATTTCCATCATCTTCCTTACTCTCTACACCAGTGTTTTTCAACCTTGGCAGCTTGAAGATGTGTGGACTTCAACTCCCAGAATTCCCCAGCCAGCTGGCTG